GGGATTTTTATCCCCCAATGTAATAGCAATAACAATAAGTGTAAAAAAATATATATATAAATAAAAAAAGTAAAAAGAATAAAAGTCACATATAAAAAAAGTAAAAAAAAAACAAAATGTTTAACTCCCCCACGTTTACGCAGATATAAACGTAAATACGCGTCCGGTGCACCAGCGCGCGAAAATGACAATTGCGCTACACAGGTTACATATCGCCGCGAACGTCGCAGTGAGAGCAATCATTTTAGGGCCATCAATCACTGATAACACTAAACTGATGAGCGGTAAAAGCTTTTAAAGCGTCACCTATGGCCAATTTTGGGTATTATCGTTTTTTGAGGTTTCGCACGCGCACGCAAATTTAAAGTTTGACATGTTTGGTTTCTTTCTACCCGACGTGACCCCGTCTTTTATTTTTGACCAAAAAATTGGGTAAAAATACATGCTTTATCATTTAATTTAGGGGAAACAGTTTTTTTTTTTTTTATTTCGGTAATTTATCCTTACTATAGTAAAAAATAAAAACCGCAGTGGTGATTAAATACCACCAAAAGAAAGCTCTATCTGTCCCTAAAACAAGGTATAAAATTGATTTCAGTACAGAGTTGCATGACGGAATAAATGTCAGTCAAAGTACCGCAGCGCTAAATACTGAAAAATGGCCTGGCCAGGAAGGGGGTTTAACACCGCGAACTTCAAGTGGTTAAGGTCTGTCTGGCTAAGCTTTTATCATAAAGACAATGTGTTCTTTGGACATTTACAGCCCTATAAACCTGCATTATCACTTTCTACATTTTTTACATTACCATTACGCTTTTTATCTCATTGGCTAATTTCTAATTACTGCTATTTAGATGTTATCTTAATTGGAACATTTGATAAAACAATTATTGGAATAGGACTTAGACACCAAGATAGCACTTTGGTACTGCTGCAGCTGATCTACACTGATAAAGTCTGCTGACATGTTATAACAGACTATTGCTTTCACGCACAAGCAGTGGCTCAAGTTTTCAGCAGCCCAACACACCCCCCCCAT